AGCTCTACCTATATTCTCCTGCCTGGCTATTGGCCATTCAGTTTTTCATCATGTCAGTCACAACAATAGGTCTTTCACACAGTGTGCACATATCCCACAACAGGCACTGATCTTTCTGAAGCCCCCCAACTGGAGATGCAGCCCTGGAGAGCCAAAGATTAATCCAAGGAGCTAATCCAGCTGTGCAATAGCCCCGAAGTAGCCTGGGTTTTAGGACCATTTCCAGGTATGTAGGAATGGCAGGGCGAAAATTGTATAGAACTGTGACAGTCAACTTGGAACTGAAACAAAAAACCATGAAGGAATGATGCTTTTGGCTCGCTCTCTGGCTCATGAGCTGGCTTTCTTATACAGCCCAAGCCTAGGGATGGTGTCACAGTGGGCTGAGACCTCCTGCATCAATATGGTCTCTCACAGACATGGCCACAGGCCAGTCTGATAGAGGCAAGTCTTCCAGTGACTGGGGTGAGTCCTTCTGTGTATATGTTGTCCTGTTGATTGATAAATAAAGCACTGTTGGCCAATAGGGAACAAGATAGGTGGGACTAGGAGTCGAGGAGGATTTTGGGAAATGTACTCAAGGGCAGGGAGTCACAATGTGATCCCGGGAGGAGAGGGCGCAAGTCTGGCGTTCTCGGTAAAAGATAAGACCTTATAAAATATATATATTAGTAATTATGGGTTAATAATTAAGTCAGAGCTAGCCATTAAGAAACCATAGCAAACTGTCAACAGCTTCGTAATTAATGTAGTGTCTCGTGTGTTATTTGGGGGCTGAGACAGCAGCGGGACCCAGGCAGATGGCAGGAAAGAATGCACGTTACATATATATATGTGTGTGTGTATATATATATATGTATATGCATATATATGTATATATATTCACTCTATGCATTTAACTATATAAGTATGTAGGTAATAACCCTGTGGCAAACTCCATATCATTATGTGAACTACCATATATATGACTAGGGAATATCAATTTGCAGACACGTGTAGGTATGTTTGTTTGCTGTGTGTCTGTGCTGTGTTCAGGAGCGTGGGTGTTTGCATCAGAATGTGGGGCTTTCTGTCAGACTGTATTTTCCTCGACATTGTCATGACATACCTCTTGCTTCTCCCTCCCACCCTCCCTCCCTCCCTCCCTCCCTCCCTCCCTCCCTTCCATTTGGTTTTTTGGGACAGGGTTTCTCAGTGTAGTTCTGGCTGCCCGGGGACTTACTCTGTTGCCCAGGCTGATCTCTGGATTACAGCCTGTGCCACCACAGTGAGCCCAACCCGCCCTGCTTTGTTCATTCACGAATACTCATTACCTATCTGCCTGAAGGAATGGTGCAGCCTGGAGGTCCTTACCATATATCCATCACCTCTTTATTTTGAACTTCCAGAGTCCAGAACCACGAGGTAAAGAAATTCCCACTCGTTACAAATGACCCAGTCTGGGGTTTGGAGAGATGGTTCAGCCATTAAAGGCTAGGCTCACAATCAAAAGTACAAATGACCCAGTCTGTGGGATTCTGGTACGGCAGTGGAAGATGGGTTTAAGAAGCCAAGCAGCTACGTGGAGAGGTTTGTCGGTGTCAGGATGACAGCACCTGCTGAGACTCCAAGCAACAGCCAGGGCTCATGATTGAACATCTTGCCTTTGTCACATCATCCCAGTTGGGATAGTGTTGATGCCTCTCTGCTGCTGTCTCCTGTCCAAGCTGCCGGGCAAGTTGTTCTTTTAAGGCACTCAGTAGGAGGATGCTTTGTTATGCAGCAGCGAGTAACAGGAACAGGGCCAAAGCTAAGTCCCCTGCCCTAAGCACCTGCGCATTCCTGCGGTTCCAAGCCTCTGCAGGTGCTTTCGGGCAGTGCCTTCTGTCAGACTGTCTGTTTGTGTACGCGAATGGATGTGTGAAGTCCTTCTGCCGACAGAGCTGTGGTTCTTGACATGTTGCTTGGTGTGACCATACTTTGAAACCTGTCTGTCTTCCTGGTCCCCCCGTCCCCAGTGTGTTCCCTTTGAAGCAGAAAGGCCTGTTTAGCTAAGAGCTAGTGCAGTTTAAATTTACTGACCTTCCCTGGCCCAAGCCTCTTGGAGCTGCCAAAACCTCAGCTGCCATCATGAGGTCCTCACACCCCTTTTACAAGGACTCAAAGTACTGTACGTTTTATCGCTTTCCCTGTTCGGTCTTTGAGGCCTTCAGCAATGCAATCACTGGGGCCCTGGGTATAGAAACTTGAATGGACGTTTATTCATTTACTTGTATGTGCACGCCTGTGTGTGTGTGCCAATGCTGCTCATGCAGGTGCAGGTCAGAGGATAACTTATTGGGGCTTGATTTCTTCTCCCACCACTGAGCCATCTTGCTGGCCTGAGACTAGGATTCTTGACTTCAAGCGGCGGAGCTGGCGATACTGACAGGTTCGGGCATTACGCTGGCCAGAGTGTGGGAACCCCTCCCTCATCTCACAATCTTCCCCTCAAATACCAGGACCCAAGAGAAAAAATTTTTTAACCTAACTTTGTCCTCTACTCTGCTAACATCTTGCCAGATCTACAGAGGCGCCAGAGAGTTCCACACAGCCTGGACTACAATGGAACAACCAGCTACTCAGGATGTGACAACACCCCAACTTTCTCAAGATCCCCCAAAGATGGTCGATGCCCCCAGGTCAGCAGTCTTAAGAACTCAACATCCTTATTCCCTAATTCTGCCACGTCTAACACCCCCACCTCTTTTTAATCATAAATAAAGGTGGCTTCCCTGCCCTGTTACCTGGCAGGATGCACTCAGGCAACACTCTGGCCAGCCCAGAGTTCTGTGAGAACCACGCAGGTGCAAAGGACCCCTTTAAAGGACTGACCCCTGCCCGTTTACACTCTTTCTTACTCTCATCTTTCTCTCTATCTTATCTTCTCTCTCTGTCATGTGTCGTGTGTCCCGTCTCCTCCTCCACCCCCCACCCCTACCTTTTGGTCTCTCTATAATAAACTATGGTTAATATGCTCTGCATGGCTTGTGCTCCGTCCATTGCGTGGGTCCTTATTCCATATTTAACAACAGATACAGGCTCAGGTGTGCCCAAGACTGGTTTTTACCCTTCCTTGGCTGGAACGATCTCTTCCGGGTACAGCCTGGGCAGTTGTGGATATCAGTTCTGAACATGGGTGCTTCCCTTGGTTTTTCTGGAATTCTCCTTAGAGTCCTGTTTCTTTCTACATACTGGCTGTCTGACTTAGTTTTTCTGGGACCATTCCCATTCTTGCAGCGAGGTACTTTCTGTAGCATCCAAAAGCCACAGCTGGATAGCACATTTCTAACGGGTTCAGAGATTTTGATTCTGTGGGAATGAGCAAAATCTTCCCTACTGTCTCACAAGAGTGTCTGATGCAGATAATGTTTGGGAAGGGACGTTGCTCAAAAAGGGATTAGGGGAAGAGGGGACTGGAGAGACGGGGCAATGGTTAAGAGCATGAACTGCTTTTCTAGAGGACATGAGTTAAGTTCTTAGCACTCATATTGCGCAGCTCACAATTAATTGCCTGTAACACCAGATTTTGGTGGGCACCTGCACTCATGTGCACATATTTACATACAGATGCACGCACTAATATACACGCGGGATTGCATGCGCGTGCACATACACACACAATTTAAGAAAAATAAAATATTTTTTAGAGGCAGGTTCTCTCTTGAGCCCTGACTGTTCTAGAACTCACTATGCACACCAGATTGGCCCCAAGCTCACAAAGATCCACCTGCCTCTGCCTCCTGACAGCTGGGATTAAAGGTGTGCACCACCATATCCAGTAAAATAGATCTTTTAAAAAAAAAAAAGGGATTTTTGGACAGCTGCAGTATGAACAAAATGGACTATAGTTTGAGTTCTTTGTGAATATTATTGTAAATTGGTACTTGCTGAGCCAGGTGTTGGTGGCGCATGCTTTTAATCCCAGCACTCGGGAGGCACGGGCAGGTGGATCTCTGTGAGTTCAAGGCCAGCCTGGTCTACAGACCGAGTTCCAGAAAAGCCTCCAAAACAATACAGAGAAACCCTGTCTCGAAAAACCAAAAAAAAAAAAAAAAAAAAAAAAAGAGGTACTTGCTGGTTGTTGTGATTTGATCTCTTAACATTTCCATGTCTCTCTTTTACTTGACCCTGAGTCTTGGAGTTTAAGAACCCAGAAGGAGCCGGGCGGTGGTGGCGCACGCCTTTAATCCCAGCACTCGGGAGGCAGAGGCAGGTGGATCTCTGTGAGTTCGAGGCCAGGCTGGACCGACAGCCTCCAAAACAATACAGAGAAACCCTGTCTCGTAAAAACAAACAAACAAAAAGAACCCAGAAGGAGTGTTTCACATACAACGGCATTTCTGCAGCCAAGGCTGGAATATTAGCTTGATGCTCACACTCAAGTGCACAAACAGTCTAAGAACACAGAGGTGATTCCTGGCAGCAGGGTTTGTGGCGAAAAGTTCCCTCAAGCCTGCATGTCATGATGTAAAACTCTTAGCTCCTTTTCCGGACACCCTCTTTGCCTGCATCCCACCCCGAGGATAATGGGCCAAACCTCTGAAATTGTAAGCCACTCCAATTAAATGTTTTCCTTTATAAGAGTTGCAGTGGCCATGGTGTCTCTTCACAGCCATAGAAACCCCGACTAAGACAGACGCCTTTAGAGATACATCCAAAAATTCATAACCTAGATGATTCCAAGTCACGTGAAGTTGGTGACGGAGGGTAGCTGTCACATCCCTCAAGATGCTGAGCAGTACTGGCTCCCAGCTAGACAAGCAATCAGCACGGTAAACAGCAGGCACTCTGCATCAGGGCAGGTATATCAAATGCAGTTCTCATTTTATAGTTTTCGGTTTTCTGAAATAGAGTCTCACTGTGCTGCTCAGATTGATTTCAAACCTGTGATCCTACTCCCTCAGCCTCCTAAGTGCTGGGACTTAATCCACCACTCCCAGCTTTAAGTGCATTTTTGAGTTGCAATATTTTTGACTTACTATAGCAGCGACACGAGGCAGAATTATTCCTGGGTCCACCTCCTCCCACTGGTCTCCCGAACATGCCATAGGAGAGTAAGATGTTCTCTGTTCTTTCCCACCTAGAACCCAAGGAAATGTTTTTATTATTTTTCATTAACTGATACTACCCACTCAGCTACTTCCTAGGAGCTCATTTTCCTTCTGTAGCTACTGCCCAAGGCTTTGCTCAGTGGTTATGAAGTCAACTTCCCACCTGATTGACATAAACATAATTAAGAAGGTAAATTGAAAGCTGGAAGTTCACCTTATATATGAAGAAGGGAAGGGAATTTCAGAAATAAGTTAATTGCTGTTATCATGGCGGGGAGGTATTTGGCATTTGAGGAAGTTACTGGCTTGGATCGTCTTTATATTCACTCACAAATGGCCTATAAACACTTGTAACTATTTTGTCAGTCAGTTTTAGCCAGTCTGTGTATATGTGGTTTAGTACCGAGAAAACATGACTTTGGAGGGTACCCCATCTATTTTGAATCCTCACTTCTAACGTTTTCATTCCGTGACCTTGTTTGCATAAATCCATCATCCTGTCACAGTCAAAGCTGTCAACCTTACACACCCAAGGAAGAGGGAACCTCAATGGAGAAATTGCCTTTGGCCCATTGGCCCCTGAGCACGTTCATGGGTAATTGATGGAGGGCCCAGACCACAGTGGGCGGTACCATCCCCAGAAAGGTGGGCCTCAGCTAAGAAAGGGAGCTAAGCAAACCAGAGTTAAGACAGACAAGAGAGCGGCGGCTCTCGGTGGTCTTTGCTTCGGCTCCTGCCTCAAGTTCCTCACCCGACCCTGTTGGATAATGAACCCGTAACCTGTAAGTCAAATAAACCCTTTCCTCCCATGTTGCTTTAGGTCATAATTTTCTCACAGCAAACTAGAACATCTTCTTGGAGCCTTGCTCTCCGTGTAAGAGGACAGCGATTCTAATCTTGTGAAAGTATTGTGTATGCGTATCACCTGGCAAACAGACCTTCAGCAGCATGGCGGGGGGTCAGGGATGCAGGTAACCTATTTATCTTTAAAATAACTTATTTAAAAAAAAGCACCCCCCCAAAAATTTCCATAAAGCGAATGACTTACAGGTGTTCTGTTTTTGCATGAGTCTTTCAAAGGACTATTTGTTGCTCGAGTTTCCACTTGTGTCACAAACTGAGTCATAAGCATCGTGATTTATATTTTGCCTCCCACCCCCCTCGGGTTTCTTTCCGAAGATCCTTACGTTAGAAAGAAATTACGATCTTGGGAAATTAAACAAGAAGCTGAAGTTCTGGGTGAAAGGCAAGACCAGGCCCACGGCGTGTTAATCTCTTTTTTTTAAAGACACTACTGCAGGCGGAGGGGCAGGGAACGAAGGTGTCAGCATGGCTGCGGAAGGAGACGCCAGGGGGCGTGGCTTCGCGGCCGAGGAAGGCGGGGCTAACGCTGCCGCGTGGGGGTGGTGGGGGCGGTGGGAGAGCGAGGAGAGACGCCCCGGGGCTGCCCTGGCGGGCTACCATTGGCCCAGGTTGCGCGTGACGCCATAGCCACGCGCCTTCAGGCTCCGGCCGCCGCGTTTGCGCACGAGGAGCTTGGTGGCCGCTGCAGCCGCCGGGAATTGTGGGGGTTGTGTCTGCCCCTCGGCTGCCGTGGAAAGCCGAAGGTAGGGGAGGTGGTGGGGGCCCCGGGCCCTGGAGCGGGACGCAGGGCGGGCGGCGCCGGCCCCGGCCTCGCCTCCTGCCGTTAGCGGCCTCCTCCCTCCCGCGCTCTCCGCACCTTTCCGCAGTGTTCCGGGTCCCACCGCGTCCACCGCCTCAGCGCCACGCGGGCGAGACGTCCAACTGCGTCCTCGGCCGGCAGCCCCAGGGCCGTTTCCCCCCTGAGCGACGCAGGGATCCCCCGCCAGCGCCAGAGGAGGGGGCGGTGCCTTTGGGCTGCACGTGTGTTTGCAGTTTCCCTCTTTGGTCTCCCCTTCTCCGGCCTCAGTTTTCCCCACACCTGCCCGAAGAAAGGAAGCGGGGGTGAATTAGGTGTTCTTGCTCTCAGACACACGTCCAGGGTTGACAGTTTTGCTTAACTATGGCCGGGAACCTCCCGAGTCTCTCGACTTGAAGTTGCGCCCTCCCTGCCTTCTTGTTCTTTCGCCTCCTCCCCCTCAGCGTGGGTTCCTTTGCACCGGTAGACGTAAAGCTTGCCCTGAACTCCTCTCCCCAGGTTGCTAAAGGTTATGGGCTTTGTTGTCGAGCTACTTCTGTGCTTGAACTCGAGGCTTCTTCCCAGAGACTTTGGATAAAGTTAACACCTGCCAACGTCGCAGTTGTTTGCATTCAGGTGACCCCAGGGTCCTGTTGATGGGAAAAGGACTGGGTTTCCAGAAATGGCCAACAGCTGAGAAGCCAGCAGGCACTTGTTTGCACTTGTTAGATGCCTTTAAATATAAATTGATGAGGGCTGGAGATGTAGCTCAGTGGATGAAGCCCTGGATTCCGTCCCTACCATTGCGTAAACCAGGTGTACTCACTGCAGTGTATGGATGCTTGTAATCCCAGCACTAAGGAGTAGACGCAGGAGCGTCAGAAATTTGAGTCGTCCCTAGCTACACAGAGTTCCAGTTCGGCCTGGAAGACTTGAGACTCTATGCATCTAATCTCTCTGACCCATATGTAAGATAGATTTTAAATGCATTTATAATACTTGGCTTCCATTCAAATCCAGCGGGCTCTCCCATCTCAAAACAAAACTGCAAACTGCTTTGAGGGAATAGTTAGAATAACCCACTGTAGGTAGGTAGGAAGAAGACGAATCCTCCATGCTTTTTGGTTTTTCGAAACAGGGTTTCTCTGTATTGCTTTGGAGGCTGTCCTGGAACTCACTCTGTAGACCAGGCTGGCCTCGAACTCAAATAGATCCACCTGTCTCTGCCTCCCGAGTGCTGGGATTAAAGGCGTGCACCACCAGCGCCCGGTTCTCCATGTTTTTAAGAGAAGAAACTGATATGTTTACAAGTACTAGCAAAGTTTATTTTGGGAGTGTGAGACTGTGTGCATGGCCTTTTATCTTTACACTCGGAAGATTTTCTTTCTGATAAAAGTATAGACAAAGGGACCAGATAAAAATCTTAATGGAAACCATAATGTAATATTAGGATTGCTATGTGCGTAACATGGGTCAGAAATTGGTCAGTGTTCCCCGCTGGGACTTGGCTCTTGGATGCTTAAGAAGTGGCTGCCACACCAGACTTACCATAACCTTTAATTTAGGTGGTAAATTCAGTCTGTGTATTAACACATGTGCTGTTTTAGTGAAACTGGCAATAAAAAGACTGCATATTTTACTGGTAATGGGAATGGAGAATGTGTTAGTAGGCATATGACAGCTCAGAAATAAAAATTGCATGGTATTTATTGTTTTCTTCCTCTTTCCTGTTGTTTTTTGAAGGCTGTTTCATCTCTACTGAGGCCAACTTTGAGCCCCAGTGTGTCTCATGACAGGGAAAAAGGCCAATTAAGTGAAACTGAAAAATAACAAAATGAATTCTGAAATAGCAAGCACACTAGAACCTCCAATATCACCCTCCTACTCTCCTTTCAGTCGCGTGTGTAGGTGTGGGCTTGGGGGCTGGAGGTGGGCGTCATATAAGTGACATGGCTACTGACCAAGGCAGTTTTGAAAAATCTGTACCCAGAAATTGTTTTTGGAGATCAGTTTTACTAACCTCTGACACATTTCTTTCTAAAAATCTCTAGATGGCTCATGTTTATAAAACCTTGACCCTAGTATGTCTTCAGATGAGTTATTATTATTGTTGTTTTGTTTGAGATAGGGTCTCACTTGTAGTCTTGGTTGTCCTGAAACTCGGTATGTAGACCAGGCTGACTCAAACTCAGAGAGATCCTCTTGTCTCTGCCTCCCGAGTGGTGGAACTTAAGGTGTGTGCAGCCACAACCTGCCTCCTGTCTCTCCACTCTCTATCCTAAACAAAACTTACAGAAGCTATCTTCTAGTCCTTGAGAAAGCCTCTCTTCAGAGAACCAATCTGAATGTTCTTTTTTTTAAAAATAACATTGTATCTTTTTGTGCCTCCGGTAGTCCAAACCTGTAACCTTTCTGCTTTATCCTCCCCAGCAGTTTTTTTTTTCTTTTCTTTTGGCGGTAGACATAGGGTTTTTGGAGTTTGGTAAACAGGAGCTGTAATTCTGCTACTAATTAGCCATATGATCTTGGGCAAGTTCTTCATCTCGTAGGCTCAATTTCCCATTGCTTAAAATGGGAATACGATCTAAAAGGATGGCTAAGTGAAGTGTTATATATGAAAACCCTTTGGACACAGGAATGCAAGCAAAGTTTTATGGACTTGCTTAAAAAATTTTTTTTCAATGCTGGGGCTCAAACCTTACGGTCTTATGTGCATGCCACACATGCTCTACAACTGAACCTCATCTACTCTGAGCAGTTGCTGTCAATGAGAAAACTTAGAACATGACAATCCATAAAGGGAAGTAGGTGGATGCTTTCTGATTCTTTTTATGTTTGTATACCCACACTCCGACTTCATCCTGCCTCCAGTCTTCACTGACTTCATCCTAAGCGAAACTGTGGAGCCACCTGCCGGTCCTTGACTTAGCCTCTCTGCAGAGAGCCAGTCTCAACGCTTTCACGGTTCGTGTCCCTTGGTTGTAGACTCCTGAGGAGTTTGCTAGGGGCCCCAGCTGGTGCTCTGTCACACTCTGTAGCACAAACACCTCTAGTTCCTAGCTTGGGTGTCAACTTGGAGACCTATCCTTGTGGCGCTAACCTTTTCTCTTCTGAGCAGGGATGGGTACTTGGTCCTTCTCTGAGTTGGCTGTAAGCTTCAAGCTTCAGTCTTCTGTAGCAGAGGGCTTCGTATTTTAATGTGGCCTGAAGAGGAAATATTGTGCCTTCTGTTTTTTTTTTTCTTAATTTCATTTATGTATTTTACTATAATAGCCTGTTCAGACGATGGGCCCTCCTAGTTCACATCAACACTAATGGTTTATCTTTGGAACAAAAGCTTTGTAAAGATTCAGGTTGCCCAGGTGCGTGGTTCTTCTTGACCTGTGAGGCGTCTTGACACTCTCCCTTGTGCAGACTTGTAACCTGGAGTTAGGAGACTCCAGTAGAGAGGGAACTGCCATTAGGCTAGGCTCTGTAGTTCCTTCAGGCTCCGTTAGCAGCTGGTAGTTTCACCTCTGTTGCTGTGATAAACTGCCCCGGCAAAGAGCAGCTTTAAGGGAGAAAGGTTTAGTTCAGCTCACAATCCCGAGTTACATCCTTCATTTTGGGAAAGTCAAGACAGAAAGTTTAAGTCGCTAGTCACATTCACAGTCAAGAGCAGAGAGAAATGAATGCATGCATGGTTGCTTGCCCAGCTCACCGTTCACTGTTCAAGGTCTAGACCGTGAAAAGGGTGTTGTCAATAGGAGGTCTTTGTGTTCACAGATACTCACTAGGGGATATCCTGGTGATCTTTATCTGTTCATCTAGAGACTTTTCTGATACCATATCCTCCCCCAGACCCTTACCGTAAATTTGTTTTTCCCAGGAGAATCTGTAGAACCTATCTCCACGGACTTTGCAAAGAGTTTCAGTGTAGTTACATCTGATAACTTTGTTCCTCAGAGAGATTTATGCATGCTTTGTTGTGCATGCAGGATTGAATTATCACCAGAATAAGTTTTCACCAAATTGTGCTGTGTTTAAATATGCCTAAAATAAATTACTTGGGGTCAGACTCCAGAAGTTGAAAATGACACTGGCTACTGAGTTATGTTGAACCAAACTGCCTTCTGTCCTCCTAGGGATCGTCATAGATGGCCCCCCACCCCACAGTTGTTCGCATTCAGAGTGAAACTTGCTACATCAGTTAACCCAATTAAGAAAATTCCTCCTAGGGCCTGGAGAGATGGCTCAGTGGTTAAGGGTGTATGCTGCGTAGCACCTGAGTTTGGTTCTCCACACTCAATGGTGGTTCATAACTGCTGGTAAATCCAGTTTCAGGGAGATGCTATGCCTGTCACCTCTTCAGGCACCTGTACCCACACACACAGACACACAATTAGAAATCATACACATAGGGACTGGAGAGATAGTATAGCAGTTAAGAGCACTGGCTGCTTTTCCAGAGGACCTGGGCACACTTGGTGGCTCACAACCATCTCGTTCCAGGGGAACCGATCGGCTCTTCTGATCTTAGAGAAAACCAGTCATGCACATGCATACATGTAGGCAAAACATGCATACACATAAAACTTAAAAAAAATTAAAGAACAAAAGTCTTTCCCAGTCACGCTTACAGGCCCACCTGATTTAGGCAGTCCCTTATTGAAGCTTTCCCAGGTGACTCTAATTGTGCCAAGCTGACAGGGAAAACGACAAGGGTGTGGTTATGCTGACTGTCCAGCCGAGCCTCCGTCAGCTGCCTAGTCTTCCCTTGGCTCTGGCATTGAAAA